AAGAACACTTTCGCTGCAGATTTGAGAAAACACAAAGAAGGCACCCATCTGAGATTTCTAAAGAGACCTACAGCACTCGACCCAAAGTTTAAGAATCTGAAGTACCTTCCAAAATCTGAGAGGGACAAAGTATGGAGTATGCTTTCAGAAGTCTTAAAAAAGCAGCACTCTGTTGTGGCAACTACAGAACCCAACCACCAAAAAGAAATCAGCCTTCTGCTAGTGGCATCTGATTAAGATGATGAAAATGAACATGTGGCAGTCTGCATTTCATTGGATCATTATTGAGCAGAACCTGTCATTAGCATGGATGCATGTCCTCTGGAATGGTGGTTGAAGCATGAAAGGTATCTGGCACATAAACATCTTGTGACATTGGCAGTGCCACATAAATGCCTGTTCTGTCTTTCAGGTGACAATGTATACAGGAAACGGGCAGAATTATCTCAGACAAATGCAAACTTGTTTGAGCAATTGGCTGAACAAGAAGTAAGACTGAGTCAACTTGTAGGCACTAAAGTTTTACATTGTATTAAAATATAAAAGTTATTTTTGTACATAATTCTATTATTTTAAGTTCAACTTTTATGGTAAAGAGATTGCATTACAGTACTTGTATGAAATGATTTTTAAATACTATGTATTTTGTTTTTAAAGAACAAATATTTGTAATAAATATAAAGTGAGCACTCTGTATACTTTGTATTTTGTGTTGTAACGGAAATCACTATATTTGAAAATGTAGAAAACATCCAAAAATATTTAAATAAAGGGTATTCTATTATTGCTTAATGTGATTAATCACACACATTTAATTGTGTGATTAATTACAATTAATTTATTTAATCCTTGGCAGGGCTAGTCTGAGCATAGACAGGGGAAAGTAAGTGAGAATAAAACTCAAGTCTGCTGTCTCTCAGACACATGCTCAATTCATTAGAGTACAGTTCTCTGGCAGGCTTGTCATGTGTTTAGCTCTTTGCTGCCCATACCATTGAAGTTAATGGCGAAACTCCCTTTAGGCAAACACTTCATTGCTTTTGAAAATCCCACTTTTAGGTTTCTTGTGCCTTTCTACTTAGATCCATCAGCACAGTGGTTCTCAACCTGCGAGCCATGTGCAACCCATTAAGCACACAGCTCAGCTGTATGCTAAAGGCTTAGGGCCCGGTCATGGCTGCCCTTGTGCATGTCAGGCTCCTGGCTGCTGCCCAGCTCTGTTCAGTAGAGTCCAGATTGCTGGCTGCTGTCTAGCCTCACTCAGCAGGCTTTGGGCACCTGGCTGACCCTGGCCCCACATGGAGGAGTCGGAGTTCAGGCTTCTGCCCAGGCTTCAGGATACCCCCTGGGCCCATGTGTGAGACTCTGAGGTCCTGGCTGCTGGCTAGCCCCAAGCCCTGCACATCAGGGTCAGATTCCAGGGTGCTGGCTGCCCCTTGGCCCAACAAGGTTGGAGTAAGTGCTGTTATTTGCCCTAGTGGGCTCTGGTGTGCTGGCTGACACCTGGCCTGGCAGGGCCAGGGTTGGTGCTGCCACCCGGCCTCATGCAGCAGGGTCAGGATTCCTGCTCATCCTGCATAGCGGGGTCTGGGTCCCTGCCACCTGCCTGGTACTTTGCTCTGCCTCCTCCTGGCCCCACTTTGTGGAGCAGTCTCAGGGCAGAGGGCACTAGGCATAGAGGTTGAGTGGGGTTAGATAGGGGAGCACTGTGGTTCTCAACCTGCCACCCAGAAAACACTTTGTGGGTTACAATGGTAAATAGCTGGAGAACCAGTTTTAGTATTTCAATGTGAACTGAATAGTGAAGTTGCATTTTTCATTCCCAAACCAGTTGGATCTGATTGTACCCTCTTTTCATTTCTGAATTTTCTACAGCCGGTCCCCGACTTGCAAACGGTCGAGTTACAACCGTTTGCATTTACGACCATAGCTCCCATGGAGTAGTCATAAAGGCGGTCCCAGAGTTACGAATGCGACGCGCACTTATGAACAGCGCGGTCGCTATGTAACTCAATGGGGTCCGAGTTACGAACAGATCGAGTTACGGCCAAGTATTTGGTTTGTAACTCGCGGAGAGGCTGTATTTGAATGTACATTAGTGAACAGAAGCTGTTTCACCTTGCATAATTCCTCTTTTGTTTGTGCCAAAAGAGACCATAAAATCACAGATACACTTTTAGGCTATATTTGTAGAGACATCACATCATAGAGTGAGGGTGGATAACAATATGACCACGCTTGGCATATTCTATTCTGCACAGCACAGATGTAGGAGTGAGAAACCAACAGCAAATGTGATTATGTAGTTAGGAAGTGACATCTGAGGAATGACCCATATACATGGGTCTTAGGCAAATGACCACTAAGAGAGAAGCATGAAAGAACTTAACTGCAATTTTTGAAAAGGTATATAGGTAAATATGGATTTTTAAATCTCAAGAGGAGGAGGGACACCCAAAACTTGTGTAGGATGTTTTCTAAAGACAGGGAAGATATACTTAGCAGGCTGGGAGACCCCATACATCTTAGTTTTATAAAATCAAAGGTCATGGTGGTAGGGCTTCTCTATGAATACTAGGAGAGAGGATTTATTTAATGTGGTACAAGGAGATAATATAATCAGACAAATGCCCTATTTTCCTGTCCACTGACTTTCCCCATGAAAATGATGGAAGCTACATACGGAAACCACAACTAAGGAAACAATCCTGTATTAGTCCCAAGGGCACAGACAACATGGGACCCAATATCTTTAATAGTTACTTCCCATAATTTTCCTAATGGAATACCCCTCTGCACTAATGAATATGAGTTGGGCTGGATTATATTCAGCATTCTATTCACTGAAGGCAGAGGCAAAATTCTAAGAATGGTATCTGACCAAGCTGCAAGGGTTTTATCTCCTTACCAATAAAATAAGGGGATGGGAAAATGTTGTTATGAAGGTGGAATTGTGCTAGGGAAATCTTAGACTGAACCAGTGCAACCACTCAGAAGAGATTCAAATGCCACCCAGCTGATGAGCAGAATTCTTTGCTTCCACTGGTAGTGCACATTTGCACATGTCTCTATGCACACAAAAATTGTATTCTGCACATGGATGGAAAGAATCTGCACTCGGTCTAAAAAGATTAGAGGGACTATTGGACTGGACCACAAAGCCCCACTGGCTAGCATCAGCCTGTGTATTACTAAGGAATATTACCAAGTATTGTTAGAAATCACTGAGATTTGTGTCCCTTTAAATGCAAAGGCCAGTGCTAAATAGTGAGGCTTTACAGTCCAATCTAAGCTTTTCTTTGTATTATTCCACTTTGACAAGACCCTTGCAACTCTATCTGCAAAATTAGATTTCAGGAATATAGGGGGAAGATGGTGGAAGGATATCAAACACAATATTAAACAGAAACAAATTAAAATTACAACAGGCTATCCTCCTCCACCCCCTGGATGCGTTAGTTTCTGGAACGCAGTGACATAAGATATCATTGATTAGACATTCTTACTGATAACACCTAATTATATAAGAGTGCTTCTCCTGTGGATATATTATTAATTTTCTAGTGTGGAGACTGTTGCACTTTCCTCTAAATATCTGGTACTATCCCATCAGAGAGAATGTACTGGAGCAAGGTTCTAATCCAGTATTAGTTTTTTGTTTAACATGCTTTGATTAGAATTCCAGACAGGGGTTTGGTGCTCGTCAAATGTCTGCTAGTCTTTTTCTCAAGCTCCTGCTTGTGATACACTGGTGGGCAGTCAACTTGCACCATGGGTGGACACTGTTGCCACCATCTCCCCTCTTTCTAGTCTCTTTGCTTCTTTCCTTTCAGCCTTGTTTGTTTCTTTTATTCCATTCCACCCCTCTTTTTTGTTTTTAAACAACTGATGTTTTACTTCTGC